CCTGCTGACTGTCCTCCAGCTTTTTTCCCTCTGGCTGCCATTTGCTGCAGACTGGAACCAGAGAGCAGGTAGGTTTGGGGTCTGGGGGACTCTTCTTTGTAAGCCCAGAGGATGTGTCTATATCCCCTTGGTTGAAGGATTGCTCTGCACAGAGGGTGGAAAAGGGCTGTATTCCAACCTTTTGTGGTAATGCTCAAAGGCTTCCACATGAGGAGAGACTAAAGGCTCACCAGCTTGGGTAAGAGACTGCTGTATATGGGAGAGGCCTCTGAAGCAATTTCTGAGACCGAGGGTAAAGGAGAAGTGATTGCTCAGGGTTTCTCATGTACAAAAAGTAGGGGCAGATTGTGGCAGCAGCTCCAAAATGTGAATGCTTGATTTGATTTCACTTGTGAAACTCGTAGCTTCAGAAGAGTGTTGATGCCAAATAGGTTCCAAAAGAGCCGGAGCTCCCTGGTCATTGGCTGTAAAAACAGGTAGCCCAGACAGACTGGGATCTTTGCAGTCTCGGAAGCTGAATGGGGAGGGATCACGTCCCTGCTCACACCGCTGTGCATGAGACAGTAGCCTGAATTGACAACTGGCTCAGCCTTTCCAGATGCTGTTCTGCTTCCTCTTTCCCACTCACATTTTCTGACTGTTACTTCTAGGCCCCCTTTTTCCAAGCTGGAAGATTCCTTTGAAGCGCTCTCTCTCTACCTGGGAGAACTTGCCATCCCCCTCCCGTCTGAGCTGGAGGAGCTGGACCACAACGTGAGTGTGCAGTATGGGCTGAACCGTGACAAGCTACCTGAAAACACAACCTAGTCAGCTTGTCCTGCTGCCTGCACCACTTCTGTTGGAGTTGAGATGAGTGACAGGGAGGGAGATGCACTTCAGCCGCTTCCAGGGCATTAACGGGGCACCACGCTGTGCGATTGCTGCATTGCCTCTCTCTCCCCACCCAACACCCCTCCTTTTGGACATCCTGATTCACTGTCAATTTCTGGCATGTTTCAGAAGCAAAAAGGGCTGTTTCCTGCCAACTGCACCTAGGAAAGCTGCTCAACACTATTTTTCTGGCTTGAGAAATGTTTCTCTGGCCTTTTCAGGCTTCTTTACTGTGGTGCCTTAGAACTTGGCTGCAAGCTGTGAAGCCACCCTGGCCTGTCTGCCAGGGAGGGGATTGCTATAGGAGACTGTTCTGGGCAAGGACCAGCACTTCTTGAACGGCTTCTCCCACTGACTACCCTGCTCAGAAAGCTGGGGAAATTGGACATCCAGCAAAAGGCCCCACCAGGACAGCGTGTGCGTGTATGTTTGTGCATGTGTTTTCCAGAACATCCCACTGAGATTTTGGCGTCTGAGTGAAAAGCCCCAGGTATTGGGCAGCTCTCCTGAAATATCTTGTCTGTGGGGAAGCATGTATGAATTTTTGTTTTGGTTTGGTTTTGTGGGTTTTTTCCTCCTCTGTCTCTGAATACCTCCAAAAGCCTGCCTAGAAACACTAAGACTGAGCTTTGCTTGCCCCTCCTGATGGTGAACAAGGCAGGCAGCAAATGAGCCACTTGAGCATCTTCAGACCCTGAGCTGGCACAGTGAGTTTGCCCAAGAACCTTAACCTAGGTGAAAGTATTTGACCTGAATGCATAGAACTGCACTAGGCACTGGCTGTGGACATCCCTGGAATGATGAAGCTGCTTGAGCTCTTGGCCTGTGGATGTGAGGCGACAGAAAGGGTGGCAAAAGGTGCTCTTCAGAAAGCCAAAGGTCTGAAATGGCTCAGACTTTGTGCATGGACAATAGCAAAGGGGGACATGCTCAAGGTTACTTAAAGGATGGACTTGTCATGAACAGAGAAGTGCTGGTGAATGTCCCATCCTTCCAGGAGTGGCAGCTGGAGAATTAATAATTCAGTTGCCATTACCTCATCCTTTCCTGCAGGCTGTGCAAGTTGCTCCCTTTGAAGATCCTTCTTGCAGCTGCCACTGCAGCACCTGAGCTGATTCTCCAAGCAGAAACTTTCCTCAGGGTCATTCCCTGCTTTTGGGGAGAAAAAAGGGCTTGGAGTCACTGAGAGGTGGGTGGGGGTGTATTTTCTTCCAGCACTTCTCCCTCCCTCAATGGGAGAAGAAAGCTACTGCTGCAGTAGCTCATGTGGTTGGCAGAACTGAACAAAAAGCTGGCTCAAGTCCTGCTCTTAAGTTTCACAAACATCTTGGTTTAACTGGATTTTTAGTGTGCTCCTTTCTCCCCCCCTCCTTTCAGTACTGAATGGTGGGGCATGCGGTTACTTTGACTTCCTCCCCCTACCCATGAGTTTAAAGTATTATGTAAAATAAGATGGGACCAGCCCTCACCTTGACAAAAGGTGTGGGGGGGGAGGTGTTTTTAGTCTGTGTAGTGGTGTTTTAGAAACACTGGGGACTCCCTGAGCTGTCAGTCAGTGGAGGAGCCTCTCTAAACTGGGTCCAGTGGATTCAGGATTATTAATAGGATTTACCCTTTCTTTCCCCCTCCCACGCTGGTTTGTGAGGGGACCCCTGAAGGGGAGAGTCCTGGGTGATGTGTGGGTGGGGTTTATGAACTGTGATTTGCACAGCTCCATGTTCTAACTAAATTAAAAAGCAGTAAATGTATGCTATGAAAACAAGATTTTGTTGTCTGTGTTCCTAAAGCAAGAAGCTGTAACTTTCTTGGGTTTCTGTTGTTCCCGGTCACAAGCAGTGTCCCCCAGGGCTCAGTTCTAGGGCCAGTCTTGTTTAATATCTTTATCAGTGACCTGGATGAGGGGATTGAGCGTGCCCTCAGTAAATTTGCAGACAACACCAAGCTGGGTGGTAGTGTTGATCTGCTTGAGGGGAGGAAGGCTCTGCAGAGAGACCTGGACAGGCTGGATTGATGGGCCGAGGCCAACTGCATGAGGTTCCACAAGGCCAAGTGCCGGGTCCTGCACTTTGGTCACAACAACCCCATGCAGCACTACAGGCTTGGGGAAGAGTGGCTGGAAAGCTGCCTGGTGGAAAAAGACCTGGGAGTACTGGTTGACAGCCGGCTGAATATGAGCCAGCAGTGTGCCCAGGTGGCC